ACCTGTTCGCGGCGGCCCCCACGTTACTGCCGTAGGAAGATGATTAACCATCGAAGGTGATGGAGGGATCAAAGTACACAATCGAGAAATGAGGTGTCAGGCGAGTAAGCAGGAGAGAAAAAGGGGCTGTGGGCCTGAAACCGGTCTTGTGTCCCATTGACAACTCTTTCATCGTTTCAATATTATTTTGGCTCATGATTGATGCCTCCATCCCTTCAGACGAAAAAGGTTTTGATGTCAATTCGTTTGCGAAAAAAGGAGGTTCTACAGCCAGCTAGCACTATTGGAACACTGACTATTTAACAGTGAAACTGAGAGCTAGTTGTGTTTGTTGACAACTTTCGAAAGACTATACGATTACCAACCTTTGGAAGCAATGCACCAGTAGAATGGGAGTTCATCGTGAAGAATCGAGGCTTCAGAGACTCTTAGGACACCCTTGGTTACGCATAAGCTTCATCCTGGGAAATCTGTCTTGCTGGAAGGTATCAAGGGATGAAATGAATGGGTATTACTAATTTGCGTTGAGCAGAAACTGGAAAAGGACTACCTCATCCATAGGGCGAGTTACTCAACGCTTGTAACTGGAACTGTCTATCACGTCTAATAAGGCGTCTATCAACAGGTACTTAAAGGGCAGTCAGAAGACTTTCAGCAGTTATTCATTCACCGTATAGACAAAGGTAAACAGTCTCCTTTGGAACCAATCTGCTTACCTTTGATGGACAACAGGGTCGAACTCTAATGCCAGTAAAGACAGCTACTCTTCAATTACCACTACTGAATTGACCACTGCCCACGTTGCTCCTACAACACTTTACTCTAATGGAAAGGAGCTGGCTAATCCAGACCTTGGACGTTCTAAGATGATGAGGAGAAATCTTCGGGTTTTGTTCGCATTCACTCTCAGGAACAAATCTACACCTTAGAGATTCCGGCTCGGGGATCGGTGTGTCTGAAAGTACGCCCGTTCATTTCAAATCGGCGAATGGAAAGGAGCAATGCCCTTCTTTGATTTTTCTATCCTCTCTAGTCAGTAACAAGAACTCGAAGTGGTATCTATGAACGAACGGTGCATCTCGTCAGGTTTACGCCAAGAATATGACGGGAGTTGATAGCGCAGATGATCGATAAACTTACAGTTCTCAGAGTTAGTAATAGATAGAGCGTTCATTACAGCCCCACCCTACTAAGACGTTAGTTTGTCAACAAACTGGACAAAAGCGGCAATCAGCGACATAACATTCACTACAGGCGCGCCAGAGTCGAACAACTAACCAAACAAAATATTGGACAGTCAAACCGTGTACGAACGCTTGATAAGAAAAACGCTAGCACTGCTCGAGACGAGCGAATCGAGATGTCGAGTGGCTGGCTATTCAATAAATAATCTTTACCAATGCAGGAGGGAATGGCGATCTAAAGGGGTAAGAAATATGGGGAAAAATGGAGAAACAGGTGCATCAAGAAGAAAGGGTAGTTGCGTGAATTTGCCGCAGTAGCTTTCAGTTCGCACTGTCACCCTGGATAACCAGGAGCTCAATCATGGCTTCAGTGGACTGCAGTTGTACTTGTTGGGATATGTAGGGGCTTTGACTCTAGGATCGTCTGGCCAGCTAGTGCAGGCAATCTGTTACTGAAGTGATTTCGAAGAAAAGCCGGAAAGGCTAAGCACTTTATTGCGTTGAGCAGAAAATTCTACTATGAAAAAGGGCACTCTGGACCATAGCGTAATAAAATAGAACGCCTTGAACCTATCAGAAGCAAAAAGTAGTTGAAGTTTAGGTTCTGATTTCGTTGTGTTTCTCATGAGTATTTTTCCAGAGATTAACCAAAAGCTTCAGGTATTTTTTCGATGCAGAAAGTAGTAGCGAAATGTCAAATCGGTTTATAAATGCAATGCTTTCAGTTGAGTTAGACCACTGTTCTTAAAGGTTTTTTCACTCTTTGATATGATTTACCATATCAATAAGACACAGAGGTACAGTACCTGGTAATCACTTCATCTACAGATCCCCAAAAATCGGTTCGTCCCTTTTCTACAGTTCATTGTTTTGCAAAATTTCTAGATAAGTCCATGTCATAATTGGTACACGTCCAAATTCGGCGCCACCCAAATTATTCCTGTGCTAACATAGACTTATCTAGAAATCAGTTGTACTACTTTATGAAACTCGCCAGGTGAGGGTTTCGAATGAGCGAAAGTTTCGAATGAGACCCAACAGTAAACAAACGTCACGGGTTCACTAATAAACCCATACTGAAATAGCAAGAAGCTACAATTATGCACGCCAGTGATTTTCAATATTGGAATTCGGGAAAAATATTTATGGGCACTTTTATCATTTCATGCAAGGACACATTCGAATCTTGGAGTATAATTGGTCACCAAGTCATATGGGCGGATTGTTGTTTATCGGGAGCTGCGGAATAGTCCTAGCTATCAGGTCCTTTAATGGTAACAAAACTTCGGAAGAAACCCTATGCTCATTTTATCGAAAGAAAAATGGAATGAAGTGTATCGAGCAGAGAGAGGGAATCATTACAGTTGAGCAGTATTCTGTTTACTGTAAAATCTGGTCGGTTGTTGACTGAAAATGATTGATGATACGGGAATGATAAGGTGGTGAAGGAAGTGGAAAGTAGGAAAATCCATAATCAAAGCAGTCTCCTAATGAATGTACTGTGCTGAAACATGAGGTGATTATTAAAAGCAAAAATCAATTGCACCTTTCAACCCACGTCGACGGCTAGCCTAGCTGTTCAATCTCAGAAAAAAACATAAATATGTACCGCTTACAAACATAAACATGCCTATAAAAGACAGCAATTTATCCCTACGATCCTCGTGTTCCTAAATCCAAAAGTTCCATGTTGTTGTCAAGCCAAAAGAGAGGCCACACTCAAATAGTACTTCTCGGCTAGTGATGCAGTCAATGTGTTGTGGCCGAAATCATAAAGAATGATGTGTTGAAGGCGAACGGAGCAGGTTGCGCCAAGTAAAAGTAGTACGACCAGTCACGTAGAAAGGGCTTGAAATAGGAAAGATAAACATGTGAAACACCTCAAGTCTTTATTTTCGTACATGCCTTTGGTAGAATATGTACCAGAGCCTGTAGGGGAACAGTGCTGATCGAAGGAGGGGTAGAAGGAAGGCTGTGGGGAAGCGTGGTTATGTTGGTCTGCTATAGAAACTGTGAGTGTCATAGACTTTATCACTTTCCAAATTCAGCTGTACTTATCGACTTTTCGACGGTTTCGTCTTGGAAATTGCTACTATTTTTAGCAGATCGGTCGAATTCTTCTATTACTATTTCGTATTAGGATGAGTATCTGGTCACCACTGCTTCTTTGAGTTTCTTGACATGCCCCTTGAAAGGCTCCCTCGTCACGACGCTTTACGCAATGTACTGTGGGTGGGTTAGCGCTATATTGACCCGCAGAGAGTAGAGATTTGGGAAATGCCCACAGTTTTAACTCTTCAAAGGTACAGTTCACGATAAATTTGGGTTATACGTATCATGACGAAAAACGAAAGGGAAGGTGGAGAATAGTGTGATAGAAGCGAAGAAACCACGAAAATAGGGGTTTCCGAAGAGATAAGAGGCTTCAAAAAGAAGTTACAAACGGGACCGGACGAGTATAAGACAGAAAAATTGAGGTAGAAGGGGTGTTTGGACGAGCTATGCTATTTGTGCCACTGCGTACAGCTGCCTCATAATGGGAACTTTTAAAAATTCAATGGATGTTTTTTGGATGTTTACAATCCGCTGTAAAAAACATGGATAATGACACCATTCTAAAGTACAGCCACAAAACAGAAGGTCAAGAGTGATTCATTACTAGTGTTATAATGAATCAGTGCGGTTACTGTGAACGGAAAATCGAGCACGAACCTGCCCTTTTTGCAAGGGGAAGGGTGAGTCGGTTAGATTATTCGCTCAACTGTTCCAATTTTCTATACACTTCAAAAATGTCGACTTTCTAGATTACCTAGGTAAGTATGAAGTTAAACTTCCAATTACAGCTGACCCATGCAGTCAAATCTGAAGTACTTGCAATTTTGACACGGTAGAATCCGCTCTAACATTCAGAATGGGACTTTTTGGTAAAATTAGAGAGGTTGGTCTCCGTTGGCCACCTTTCTCGGAAATAAGCAGTCAAATTACCCTTGAAATCATGCAGGTAATTGAAATCATCTCCAGTTCATCCAACTCATGATGGGTAGGGATGTGATGGTATGATGCCTTTGTCTCCTCCTCCCCTCCATGTACGCCTTCCAGCATTTGAAAAAAAAACTTGAAAACCTTGTTTTGGTGTTGCTCGTAGTTTGACTTCTGCTTGTATCTCAAGTGTACTTCCTGCTCCTCTGCAGGCAAGTCAGCTCTCGTGCTGATCCGCTAAGTTTGTGTACATCAATAGGTTTTACTTGAAAGTTAGCCTACCATTTCACGGGGCCATGGTGGCCGATATGCCAAGCAGTAGATGAATCTGCTAGCAGGACAAGGTGGGCATGGGTTGGCTGTGGACATTCTCCATATCAGTGACGTGCGAGCAATCTTTACCGGAAAGCATATATCTACTGAACAGGATCGAGATTGAATGATAGTTATAGTCCAATTTTCACTGGTGTACACTATTGCACGCAAAACTCGATAACATCACAACACAACCTATTGTGGACCGTCCCAAGTGGTCTGGGCTAATGATGTTTACAAAGCACAACTTCGACAAGGAGTAAATTTTTGCCATCAAAACATTCCGTTGTGATGTGCCTACGCGTTTGAACATTGCTAGGATCTGTAATGGTATTTGAACGCACACTTTGACTGGCTGTCCGCTGATATTTGGGTTAAAACTTTACTATTTCCAGTGAGTTTGGTACCGGTAGCGGTGAGAGGCCCTGGTGGCCCGAGTTTGCTACAACTAGAGTAACTCAAACTAGATAACTAGGAACGGAGCCTAGACTCAGCCTAACCTTCCACTTTTCTGAGCTGAAGCTGAAAAGCTCGGCTATATGTGGTCATATTTTCACTGCATATAACTAATGATTTTCGACCGCTTGGTTCCGTTTTTCACACTCAAGTGAGCTAGCGACTTCGAGTGGTAGTTACTTTCTGATTTGTTCGGCTCACAAATACAGACCCATTCCGTTGCTTTCAATCTCCATGCACAACAGCCATTCACTGACGGTTCATCTCTTTCATCTTCCTAGGCATTACCGTGCGGATAGTCGTAGCTTGAAGGCACAGCTCACGATAATTCCCTGTTGGTGGCTCGTGGGACTTTCCCGCCCCACGATCGATGTCGCGTCAGACGAATGTCGAGGCGACGCAGATTGCAGGTACTCGTTCTAAGACCCACACACAATCAGCTAAACGCCGAGTGACGAGGCGATGTTTTCCTCCCACATTGTATAGCTCGTCCAAGCGCCCCATATCTTCTTCATTCTTCTGGTCACAATCTCGTCCAGCTGTGGGTTCTGCGGGTTCTTATGTTACCGGCGAGCACGAGGATAAGTGCTTTATCCAAACAAAAAAACACAAAACAATAATGCGGGAGAGACTCCCGAAGAAAAGAAAACAATTAATAACGAACTAGTGGCGGCGGTACGCCCTTATATAGGCGTCCCGCCGCGCCGTAATCGATAACGAGTAGATCACCCTAAAATTTTAACCATCGACCGTTTGACTTGATGGTCCTTCAACTCTACACAGCCCCCTTTTTAACGATTTTTCTAAGCCTTTTTCACTTCCACGAAACAACGATCCACGTAGTTCCTTCGCCTCCATCGCACTATTTTCCATCTTATTTTCCATGTTTCTTCATAATCTGGATTACTCAAAATTGTCGTGGACTGTGCCCTTTAAGGAGATGTTAAGCACAGATTTACGAAAAATTGTTATGTTAGGAGCGTTCAAACAATGAGAACAACCCTTTTTTCACAGTTATGGCATGTAAACCATCTGCTTTGTGATGAGTGCGGCTGCCGAATTCAAGAAGAAGAGAAGTTTGAAGAAAGAGAAGGTTTTATAGTGTGTCGTCACTGCTACCTTAACGGCAGGAATCCACGGTGTGCAGGTGGGGCAATTTAGGGGCTAGGAATTCATATTTTGGACCCTTCTGAACGCCATGATAGACACCCTTACACTATAAGCAGCCTAGCACATCGGATGCTGTGGTTTAGACTGCTTTGATGGCATCGATGTGAAATACGTAGAAGCTGCGGATATGATTCATCATAGAACTTGCTTCCAGTGCACAATGTATGTGTTACCATATGATTTGATTTGATGTTTTTTATTGTTAACTTTTTGTCATGCGATTCAGCAGTCTTACAAGGTCAGCAAGTTATGGATAAGGCTACTAGGCCCACCTTCGATTACTTCTCGAGCTTCTTTGGAACGATATTCTGACTCTGGCAATTCCTCGCTCGCTTCCCCGCATTCTCGAAGGCGTTTTGGCTGCAGTAGCTTATCAGCACTTCCAACTATCCTCTGATGAACCAGTAGCTGTAAACAGCCGATATCGGGGTCGAACCGTGAGGCTTCAGGCTTTTGATTTTACTCATTACCATTGATGTGATGAGATCAATGGTAATGAGTAAAATCAAGTATCATAAAATCAATTAGTATCAAGTATGATCAGGGGCCTTCATACTATAAAATATGAAAACCACGTTGCCCAGCACTTTAAAGAATGAGTTTGAAACCTGCGAGCGTAGATGTTTTGTCCGCGGTCCAGTAAGCTTGTGGTCCTTTCAATTTTATTGCTCGGATTTGAACTTTTGTCATTCATTTTCAGCTGCCTGCAACCGTTGAGCCGCCATTTTGTGGAGAATGACCGAGGTCTTCCTATGCATCGCCAGTGTTATTGGAAAGAGCTTCTTTACAAAGAAATTGTCACGTCTTTCACTTCAAACAGATAAATATGAAAAAAGAAGTTTCCTACTATATGTAACGAGCTAACTGTGTCTGTGGTCTGTCTGTCTGTTTGTGTGTGTGCATGATTGACCGGAAATTCATAACTCTGATTTCTGTTTATAAGGAGTTCAAATTTGGTGGGGGTACAGGCGGCAGGATGGGAAC